CTGGCATCTGACCCAAAGGACCAATAAAGGGACAAGATACTTTCAAATCTTGGTGGGGGGAAGGCTTTTGTTTGTGCTCTTTGTTTGGGAAGTTGTTCGCTCTTGGGATTGAGAGGGACCAGACATCAATCCAGGTTCTCCAAATCTTTCTGAACAAGTCTCTCATATTTCAAACTTGTAAGTGAACAGCCAGGCAAGGCGTGTTAGTTTTTATCTTTGTTTTCTCAACTTGTAAATGTACCTTTTACTAGAGTGTTTATCTCTGTTTGCTGTACTTTGAACCTGAGGCTAGAGGAGGGTCCTCTGAGCTCTTTAAGTTTGATTACCCTGTAAAGTTATTTTCCATCCTGATTTTACAGAGATGATTTTTACCATTTTCTTTAATTAAAAGCCTTCTTTTTAAGAACCTGATTGATTTTTCCTTGTTTTTAGATCCAAGGGGGTTGGATCTTGATCCACCAGGAGTTGGTGGGAGGAAGGAGGGGGGATGGTTAATTTCTCCTTGTTTTAAGATCCAAGGGGTTTGGATCTGTATTCACCAGGGAATTGGTGAAGAGTCTCTCAAGGCTACCCAGGGAAGGGAATTAGCTTTGGGAGTGGTGGCAGCGGACCAGATCTAAGCTGGTAGTTAAGCTTAGAAGTTTTCATGCAGGCCCCCACATTTGTACCCTAAAGTTCAGAGTGGGGAAGCAGCCTTGACAGTGTGTGTGGACTGGACTCAGATTAGGGGCAGCACTTGAGTTATAGCTCGAGTTAACTCTGCATCACAGCCAAACCCTGAGACTGAGCACAGCGGGTGGGAGATTTAGTCAGTGTGCAGACAGGAGACCCTGCCTGCATCAGCCCCCAAAACTGCAGGGCTTATCTTTCGAGAAAGCAGCTTCATGCATGGGCACGTGAACCAGCTCAACAGGCCGCAGCCTCCGGCAGCGAAAACTGAGCTGATCACTCACAGGGGTCATTGGATCAGCTGTGCAGAAACTGCAACCTTCCTGTTACGAGGCCAAAGTCAGCCCTGGTACAAGCAGGCGACTCCAGCGTGCTCCAGCCGTTTACGACGGGGCTGGATATAGGTCTGGGCCCCTGTGGAGAACCCTCAGGGGCGTCCTGGGGAGCAGGCTCCTTGGCTGAGCTCTTGCCAAGATCTCAGGCCCCTCGTGAAATGGAAAATCCAAAGACACACCCCCCCACAGAGCTCCCTTCTGCAGAGCCACCTCCCGCCCGGCACCTCACTTTCATTTTCATTCTGCCTCACACCCAGAAAGCTGCAGTTTGGGGAGATTCTGCTCCTCTCCTCTGATCCCAGCACTCCCGCTTGGGCAAGGAGGTGGGAAGAGCCCCAGGAAATCCTGTCACTTACTTTGCAGGCTCCAGGGAGGCAGCACCGTCTGCAGCAGATGTTCCCGGCCCTGCACCGTCTGGGTTGCCGGACTCCTGTCCCCAGCAGGAAGGAAGGCCTGGAGTAGGAAAGCCCCGCCTCTATGCACATGTACACTGCACGATTTTTGAGTCATGTGGAGTCAAACAGGGCTCCTAAAGCGAGGGGGCGGCTGCCAGCCAGGCTGGAGGATACTGGACTCAGTCACATTTTAGGGTGAAAGGACAAAGCCAACCCACTAGGACTGGAAAGATCCCATTGTGACCATGGTGGGATAGAGGGGACAGTGACGCCGCCTGGACACCGCAGCCTGGCCGTCTCACTGCAGAACAGGTACAGCAGGGGCACCAACAGGGCAAGCTGCCCCACCGCACGCACTCTGCCCCGAGAGGGGTCATCCTCTTTGATACTTTCAGGCTGCTAACGCTGCCAGCCAAGGGGGCCAACTGCTGCCAGTCGCAGGATGGTTTGGGTCAAGTGGGCCCACTAGGAACTGGACTGAGAACCACAAACTCATTGCACTCAGGACGTCTCAGAGACCCATCATGCGGGCATCCCTAAGAGAAGGAGAACAGGTGTCAGAGGCTGCATGTATCAAACAGCCCAGGACTGCCATGTCCCCGCTGCTAGCAGCAAGGAGAGGAGGCAGCAGCCAGATGGAAGCTGACAAGGGATTCCTCGGTGCACTGTGGTCACTTTCTGCTGGCATGGATGGAACTGCAAAGAAAACCTACAGGCTTCCTCAGCCAGTGCAATTGACTTAGCAACGCTGCAGCCCTCCCACCCTGCCGGTGTCCCCAGGGTGGGGGCAGGAAGGTGGTGGTCAGGGTATCCTCGGGGGGCTCTTGCAGCCAGGTCACAAGCTAGGAAAGCGGGTAGTGCCGCTCTATTCTGTGCTGGGGGCCAAATGGGGGGACACAAGCCATCCCTTCTCTATCCCTGAGCAGGGCTCAGCACCTACCCAGGGGCTCATACATCCCTGCCTCCCAGATACATGTAGGCACCTCGCATGAGATCTGCAAAAGCATTCAACTCCAGCTCCACAAAGGCACTTAACGCCCATTGATTTCTCTGGGAGTTAGGAATCTAAATACCTTCATCGACCCGGGCCTCAGGGTTGACCTAACTCTGCTCCCAGGGAAATAGTAAAACTTCCATTGACTTCAACTGGAGCAGAGTCAAGCCAATACTGAGCACTTTTTGAAATCCCATCCCTTTGCGTATTCCCAAAGGACTTCCCTGGATACCTCAATCGATTATGGGGCAGGTGCCCAGCTCCTCCTGTCAGCACTTTGGCCATAGCAAAGGTTCTATGCCACCAGCATTTGCACTATTTCCTCACAAATCTCCTCTGTTTGGGGTTTGTTTTATTTATTGAATTAAGAAAAAAAAAGCAGGTTTGTGCCCTTTTTTGCTTCTTTCTGGTGCCTGGAGAAGGCCTGTAGGGGTGAAGGGGGCAGCTCTGTCTGGTGTTTACCATGGAATGCCCAAAATATCAAATCTGAGCTTCCCTGGTTTTGCTGGAGCACTTCCCGGAGGACCCAGAAATGTGTGTTGGGAGCTTTCATAGCAGGAGTGTTGACCCTTTAGGAATCTGCCAACTGTTCATCAGGTGTTTGAGTCCGTGCTCTGGGAAGCTGTGCTGACACCCACAATGCAATGATCCAACAGCGGATGAAAGGAGCGCTGTGCAGGGATACAGCGTAGGTGTTTCCCTGCTAAACGATCTGCAGCGATTTGCACCATTACAAGGGCATATGGAGCAACCAACGTATACATACAACTGAAGTGCCTGTGTAACCCACACACCTTCTGGGTGTGGTGTTCTGTCCCAGCTAGTGGCACTGAGACCACTTAGAGAGAGAGTTAAATGAGTCCGCTCTACAGTATTACCTAACAACGAGTTGGCTTTCAGCTCATGCACTAAACTCCAGAGGTCCCAGGTTCGATCCTGCCTGCCGATGACTGGGGTCTGTCAACGTTGCAACTGTAATAACATAGCTGCAATGACATGGGCTGCACTGAGCCAAGTGATAATCTAGGAAGTTCAGCTTCAGACATCAGAACTACTGGGAGCCAGTCCTGCCCCTCTGGAACATGCCCTGCAGTCCCGCACAGCTGGGACTGGGGAGGCAGAAATCCAGCAGCTGTGGTTAGCCCAAATTAGCCACAAGGTGTCACTTTTGCTCTGCATCCGAAAATGCTGCTCTCCTGCAGTGACTGTCTGTCTCCTGTATGTATGTCCTGCCCCTTGCCCCTCTCCTGCTGCTGTTTGGGTTTCATTCCAACCCTTCTCTGATGGGTACTGCCAGCTGGCCATGACACCAGCCACACAAGGTGGCAGCTTGGTGCAATGAGCACAGGGCAGGTGCTGTGCGCCTCTGGTAGCAGCCCAGCAGGTTCACTGGCCTGAGCCTGTGCTTTTGCCTACCTACGGGCCACAATTTCATGTTTCCGAGGAACAGACGGACCATCACTGTTAACCTGGCCTGTGCAGTGGGATGGCTGCAGGGCTCAGCAGCCGGCATGGCCCGAGCCGGGGCAGACTCAGGCCTGGGCCAGCTGCTGTTTGCGGTCCAGACTTAGGGTGACGAGATAGCTAGTGTGAAAAACCGGGGGGGGGGGGAATAGGCACCTATATAAGACAAAGCCCCAATTATCGGGACTGTCCCTATAAAAAGGGGACACTTGGTCACCCTGTCTGGGCGGGGCAGGCTCTGCCAGTAGCAACAAGGAGCTAAACACAGGGCCCGGCTAGTCACCAGCGGCTGTAATGCCCCCGCACACTCCCACGGGAGCAGGAGCAGGGAGCCTGGGCCGGGCCAGCGCAGCCCTGTCTGCGCGCGACGTTCCCTGGGGAGAAGCGGCTCAAAGCGGGGTCGGGCAGCGCCGGGAGGCGGAGTCAGCGCGTCAGACGAGGGGGCGGGGGGCGGGACGGGGGGGCGGATGCCGCGGGGCCACAGGGAGGGCTCAGCTCTCGGACAGTTACGCGAGACTTTGTGAGATTCGGGGACGGAACCAGGGCGCTGTTTCCCCATTGGTTGCTGTCTGCCCCGCGTGGTTGCTAGGAGACAAGTGTAAACAGAGCGGAAAGCTGCCGGAGGCGGCATGGCAACGAACTACAAAGCGGGGCAGGTGAGAGCTGGGGGGCGGGGACCCCCCGGTACCCTAATGACCCCGGCCCTACCCCCCCACGAGACCCCACCGACCCCACCCCACCCGCCTCGCTGACCCCTGTCCCCCCCGCGGACCCCACTGACCCCAGTCCTACCCTGCCCGACGCCTCTTACATCCTCCATGGGTCCGACCAACCCAGGCCGTACCCCCCATGGTACTGCCCACCTCCCACGGGCCCCCCAGAGAACTCCCCCCCAACCTCCCAACACCCCCAGACCTCCCCACGGTTCTGCCCCTCAGCCCTACCCCTCCCAAACCACCCCCCACAGGCACCAACCTGGGGCCCCTAACCTGTCCCCATGCACCCCCCCCCAACACTGCCCTAGTCCAAGCCATCTAGGTCCCCCAACACTCCCCTCAGGCCTGACACTCCCTTAGGTCCCCCACTAACACCCCCCCATTCCAACCTCTCCCCCAATGAGACAGATCCCTACACAGAACCCCCCAGAGAAACAATCTCTTCCCCTGAGACTGCCTCCCACACAGCTCCACCCAACACCTTCAGCTTTTGCCCCCTCAGGCTGTCCCTTTTCGATGGCAGGTCCAGCCTGGGCCCTGCCACCACAGCTGTGGGGGGCTCATGGCCAGGGCTTCCCACCCATGCATGGCCGGGAATTCGGAATCATGCCCACCCCCTTTACAGCAGAGGAAACTGAGGCCCAGTGGGAGGCAACTTGTCCAAGGTCGCAGTTCAGGTGTATCTAGGGTCCCTGGCTCCAAGGTAACCCATGGCCCACTCCCAGCCCGAGCTCCTTCCCCCAGGCCAGGCTGCCTGCCCACTGGGCCATGCTGGAAGCTCATGATCTTGGTGTTTCTGGGTTGCTTCACAGGCTCCAGGGCCAGCTTGCATGCATTCCAAGCAGGAATAGGGTTTTGTGAGCCCTCCTCACCGCTGGCCCCCTGCTGTTAAGGGCACAAGGGTGTCAGTGCAACTGGATGGGCTGGAGAGATCTCTGACAGGGGAGGTGGTAGGTTTGGGAAATGGGCCATCCCAGACTATTTAAGCATACCCTGAGTATCTGCAGTGAACGTAGGGTGACCAGATGTCCTGATTTTATAGGGACAGTCCTGATATTTGGGGCTTTTTTTTATATGGGCTCCTATTACCCCACACCCCCATCCTGATTTTTCATACTTGCTATCTGGTCACCCTAAGTGGGCGGTGGAACTCTCTGGCTCTGCTGCCTCTGTTTAATGGTCTGCCCCCTCTCTCTTTTGCAGTATGAGGATGCCTTCATTGCACAGAATTTGCAAAACTGGACCCTGCCCAAGCTCTACAAGGAGGTAGGACGCCTCTGCCCTCACCCTGCATTGCCTGCGCTCCCCTTTCACAGGGACGCATCTCAGAGCTCTCTGCAGGCCTCACTGTGCTGCAGCTGTACCTCACCTGTGCAGGAAGGGTGGCTGCACCATCTCACAACACAGCGCGCACCCAGGAGCCTCTTAGCCCAACGGCCTCCTCTGCTGTTCTTCCTGGCTGCTCCCAGTCAGGAGTTGTTAGCCTCTAACATGAGTTGGAATCCAATGGAAGGATGTGGCAATAAGATAGTGTCAATAGAGCCAGAGTAATCTGGAGACAGACCCTGCCTCCCACTTGCCTCTGTGCTGGGATCACACCAGGGTGGGCCAGGCAGCCAGTTTGGGGACCTACAAGTTTGGATCACATGCAGCTGGGAAACCCTGTTTGCCCAGGCCCCAATGCTGAGAGCCAGGGTGATGGACTCCCGCTGCCCTCCCAGGCCCTCCCTCATAGCCCAGCCCCAGAGTGGCTGTTTCCGTCCATTTCTGTTCTGCCTCCACGTCAGCAGTTTAACCCCTGTTTTTTTCCTTCTGCCCTCAGCACCCCTCTGCCCGGGAAGGCTACACCCAATTTATAGCCAATGACCGAGGACACCTGCTCCCCACAGTGCCACGTTCAAAGGTGAGTGGGCTGCTTTGGCTCCTGTCTGCTAAGCAGTTTTCAGGGTTTGGAGTTGGGAGCCCAGTAAGTGGGCAAGTAACTATCTGCCTTGTCTCTGGTGCCCATCACCATGGTATCTAAGCCCTGCCAGGTACATCAAACCTGCACTGTGAAGGCTATAGGGAACTAAACTGAGCAGCAGAGTCCAAGCCCTGGGTGATCAGCTGGTGACAACTCCTCTTCCTCATGTCCCCTTGTTGAATCACATTGAGAAGTTAACCCTGAAGGCCCCTGCCCATTAGCACTCAGTGCTGGTGCTGGCCCCAGGGAGGGGTGTGATCACGAACAGGAGGGGATGTGCCCATGAGCCCCCACTAGAGAGGGTGCTGCATTTTGCCCTTCCTAGCCTGGGTTTGAGGGAGTTCTGCGTGGGGAAGTTATTTTCTAACCATGAGCTAGGAAACCAGCTGGCTTTATGCAGGGCCCATCTTTCCCCGGGCACCCAACCCACTGTGCAGAGCCCACTCCTGGTAACACTAGCTCTGCCTGGTGAGGTGAAAGCCCAGGCTGTGCCTCCCTTAGAGAGGGTGCAGCTAGCCAGGGCCAGCATTTAGTCAGCCCAGGAAGTCGGTGCGGAGGAGCTGGGGGCAGCAGCTGGATTCCTGGGTTGTTCCTGCCCCCCTCAGAACTAGAGCTAGGGAAGCTAAAATTGTGTGTGAACCTGGTTGTTGCTGGATGGGTTTCCCTGTGGGGCAGGAAGCTTTGGGTAGTGGGGGTCTCACTGCCAGCTGGCAGTGTTCATCCCCCTTCAGAAATGGCTGTAGCAGGCCTTTGATGCCAGTGCAGACAGGGCTGCTCTGTCTCGGAGAGTTCTCAGGGCTCTGCTGCTCAAGACCAAAGCCATCTCCCCCCTGCCCTGCAGGCTTCCCCCTGGGGCACATTTATGGGAACCTGGGAGATGCCACTGAAGATTCCCCCAGCCAAACTGAACCTGACCTCCCGCTCGGCTGCCGCAGCCTCGCACCTCACGGACTGGATCCACAAGTCCACTGCACTGACCAGCGCCTGCAACGGCCTCCGCCCGCAGATCACTGGCAAGGTAGGGAGCCCTGTGTGCAGGGGCCGCACCTTCCTACAGGGAGCAGACAGCACCTATTTGCTGAGGCTTGGCTTGAACCCTTGCAGAACAGAGTGTGGGGGCCCAGCCTGTGGGCCTCCTCAGTGGGCACTAGGAAATGGCAAGTGTATATAACTGTTGGCACTAACCTGTGCCTGGCCTGACTGACACGAGGGTGTCTGGGTCTCTGAGCTGGGCAAATGAGCAGAGTGAGGCTGTGCCCCAAAATACCAAGGCCAGGGTTTATAAAGCCAGCTGGGGGTGTCCCAAAGGCAGATTTCAAGGACACTCTCCTAGCCTCTTGTCCATCCTTTCAGAGTGTATTTAATCTCCTGAACATGGCAGCCTGTGCTGGGGAGGGGCTGACTCAGCTGCATGGCAAAGGCACCTCAATGGGCTGCCACACCCCCATCAGCAACCCACACACAAATAAAACCCTAATCTCTGTACTCGGCATAGCAGAGGCTAATGCTGAGGGTTCGTTCTCATCTCGCATAGTAATGTGCTCTGGAAACTGGCAGCCCCTGGTATTTGGGGAGGTGCTGGGGGGTTTTCTCTGCTGGCTTGCAGGGCTGCATCGGCCAGTGTGATGGGGCTGTTAGGTTCAGTATAGCATTGGTTGTGCACTCTGCCGTGGCAGCTTGGGGTGTGTGCCCATGCAGTGCTGCAGCTGTGCCAGCAGGGGGAGCTCACAAACCACAGCTCTCACTACTGCCAGTCTCCAGGTACTAAGTGGGAGCTGCCCAGAATGCAGAAATGCCCCTGCCCCAGCTGCTCCTGGTAGTGCTGAGTGGCATCTCTTTTCTTACCTGACAAACTCGCTCTTGCACAGAAGCCCATGCCCCAAGTAGGTAGGGACCTTTGACCTCTGCCCACATTGCCCTCCCAAGGGAGGAGCTGGGAACCCATAGACCTATGGTGGATGTAGGTCATGTTGGGTACACTACCCAGGGCAGGAAGAAGGGGCTCCTGGTAATAGGTAGGCAGGTCAGGCCTGACAAGTTTTCCCAGTGGCCAGAATCCCTTCTTGCACTCACAGGACACTGGCCAGCCCGTTTCTAAAGGGTTAACTTTGCAGCACTGACAGGAAGGTCTCCAATGCCGCTGGGGTCAATGATGGGAGCAGATGGGCCCCGGCCCTGGGTGGTGCTTGAGTGGCACCAGTTCATTCTCAGGTGTCAGTGGAAATAGCCCATTCCAGCAGCACTGCAGAAGGGAAGGAGTTATCACCCAGCCTGGGGATGGACCTACTAGGAATGCGGAGACCCAGGCAGAGGAAGAACTGCAGCAAACCCTCTGCATGGGGGCCCAGGTGCAGAGCCCAACTGGCAGTAAAGAGCTTGCCTATAGTGCCAGCTCTGCCCTTCACATTCCTCTCCCCCTCTGGCTTCGCAGTGCTCCTCCATGGCACTGATGGCCTCTGTGCAGCACCCCAGCAGGGTTCAAAGCACCAATGGCAGGGTTCAAACCACCATTGCGCTTCTTCCTCCCTAAACAGCCTCGAGAGCCTGAATCACACACGCAGCCCACAAAGGAGCTTTCCAGTAAGAACAGCCGAGCATCTAGCAGAGGCTCCCAGGGCCCCAGGTCCTCAGCCAAAATGCCCCCTGAAGAAGAGGCTTATCACAAAGGATCCACCCCCTCCAAGGTCCCACTATCACGCCAGCCTGGCTGCATGGATGTTCGAATCAAAGGAGCTACCTCCCAAGAGATCTCAGGTTCGCGCAAGCCAGGATCAAAGGAGGCTTGGCACAGAGGAAGCATATCATCTGAGGTCCCATTGTCACGCCAACCCGGCTGCATGGATGTTCGAATCAAAGAGATCTCCTCACCCAAAGTCCCAGCTTCCAACCGACCTCCTTCAAGGGAAGCTAATCCCAGGCGAGCCATCTCCGCCGAAGTCCCAGCTGCAAGTCGACCTGGGTCAATGGAGGCTAAAGCCAAAGGAGTCAGCTCACCTGAGCTCGTGGTTTCAGGTTGTCCTGGGTCAATGGAGGCCAATCCCAGGGGAGCCATCTCACTTGAGGCATTGGCATCAGGCCGCCCTGGTTCAAAGGCTAGCGAAGCAGCTGAGACCCAGAAGAGGATGTCAAGGAGGGCAGCAGAGGGGAACGGGAGCATGTCACCCAAGATGGAAGGGTCAGCAAGATCCCAGTCCTGCCCTGAAGAAAGATTTGAGCAAACATTCAACTGAAGGTCAAAGCAAATTCTATGCCCGAGACACGAACGCTAATGAGATCAAGGACAAACATCTTGCTCAGCATTTCAAGCCTTCTGGCCCTATACTTTCTTCAGTTCTAGTCACCTTCATCCCCAGGCTGGAGGTGTTTCCTTTCCCTCCATCTAGTTGTAAATCTCAACTTTTAATCCTGTTTGTGAGCTAGATTCTTTGCGAGTAGGAAATCCCCCCCCGGATAAGAGTGAGCCCAACCGACCCAGCAGTGACACAATCGACTTCCCAGCCTGTTGAGCCCCAAGGTCGGGGCTCTCAGACCAAGACGCTGCCTCACAGGGACATTCACCCATATGCACAAATTGCTTTTCAACCTGAGCATAGGAACAAAACCAGCCAGGGCTGATGCCCAGGTTGGCAAGAGGGTGGTTGGTTCTGAAGGAGCCCAAGTGATGCTGATGATTCGACAGTACCATGTGGCCAGCGTGTGTGTTCATGGTAATCAACACAAAAATAAAACTAAAAAACAAAAACAAAACAAAACAAAATCTCCCACCAGTTTTCATTTACCATCATTAGCATCAGTGGCAGGCCATGGGCTGACACTCACCATCCACTCCCACAAGCGTTAGCACCGAGGGCCATGGGCCAGCACACAACCTTCACTCCCACAAGGATTAATGCCAAGGGCCTTGAGCCGGCACTCACCCTCCATCCACCATGGCTCCTGACAGCATGCTTGGTGCTGCAGCATCAGATCATGCTAGAACACAGTATGCCTTGCCTCTTGCTCTCCATGGGTCACGTCTAGGTTCTAATTGCAGGGGGGCTACAATCTTCTCCATTTCAGGCTGATTAGCTGCAGCCCTGGGGCTCCGGGTGAGATGCCTTTGCAGCCACTCGTGGACTCACCGAGTTTGATATGTTGAGCGCTTTCCTGTAGGGTTGGCTCTTCTTCTAGCACAGCTAAGAGCTTCACTCACCCCAGTAACAACAGCCAATGGGGAGCAGTCTAGTCATGGAGCAAACACAAAGCCAGTCACCAGGGGGGCTCTGTGCAGTTCTGACTCCGTCCCAAGGGGATGCAGGCTGCAATGCCTCAGTATTGCACCATCTGTAGCATCACGTTTTCAGGCTGGCTCTTGTCTGCCCAGCATGGGGGAGGGGGAGCCAGGCCTACCGCACTCAGCGCTGGCAGAAGAATCATCTTTGCGACGCATGGGGGATGCTTTCACTGCACTGTAGGTCCCCTGTGCTTGTCTAAAATGCAGTGATGAGCGGGGGGAGGGGGCTGGCAGGGGCTAGGGAACCCAACACCTCTCAGCAGCTGGTTTGAACCCAGCCCTGGATCGGAGTGAGCCAGAGAGGGGATGCAGTGCACAGAACAGCGATCAGATTGTGGGAGCAGGGGGCATTCTGCAATTCTTAACAGGCATCATCGAGCTCCCTAACAGCAGCCCCAGAGAGGCCCCAGCTTGAATGGAGATGGAGGCTGGGTGGAGCTCTCCAGGGCAAGGCCTGTGGGCCAAGGGAAGCAGGTCAGGCAGCACCTTTATTAGCATCAATCTGCATTACAGAAAAATAACTTATAAGAGTCAGGTTTCAGAGTAACAGCCGTGTTAGTCTGTATCCACAAAAAGAAGAACAGGAGTACTTGTGGCACCTTAGAGACTAACAAATTTATTAGAGCAAATTTGTTAGTCTCTAAGGTGCCACAAGTACT